GGAATTGAATTTGGAGTTCTGTGAATAAATATAATATTTTGTTATTGACGAAGTATACCAGGCTGTTTGGCAACAGATATGACGTGGCATTTCAAAATTGTTCATAATTAATCGTGGGACAAGGAAATTACGAGGTGTGCCCATATATGGTTAGAAAGTCCTATTAAGTCTAGTTATCTAAGCATTAAGAGATCATAATTCTGGATTGGGGATATATTGAGATATGACTGTTTTAATTGAAAGAGGTCAGGCTGCCAGTATTAATTAGTTAAGTTAACCCTTTGTGTAACTTAGTTGATTTTTTGTATAAATGGTTCAAAAAGGTTGATTAAATCCTGATCTATTGAAATGATCTTGGATAGGCCATTAATTATTTTGGAGGAAAACTAAGTGGTGGAATCGAATGGAGGTAAGTATAATCTCACACACTTTGCTTGTCTTTGAACCTATGTATATATATATATGTTCTAAATGAAAGAATGTTTTATTTCTTTATTTTCGATATATGAAAATAAGATCAAGCATATGATTATTTTGTGTTTTCTCTATATAAATGATGGATCATGCTTATGAATGAAATGAGAAAATGATTTATGTTTAAAGAATGATTTTATGATGGCTATGTTTTTACATCCATGGGAAGTGGGATTATCGACACCAGAACTAGTTCTACGACCCTGGCTAATGGGTAATAGTAGTTAGCAAAGACATGATCATACAACCCTAGCTAATGAGTAATAGTAGTTAGCGTAAGGCCCTAACTAGTGGGTTATAATAGCTAGCAATGATCATGAGGATAAAATTATCGATACGGCCAATGTCACGAGTTATAGTAGTGACCGTAGCTGATGATAAAAGAATGATCATAATGATTTACGATGATTTTAATGATTGATCCATGATTTGGTTTGATTATGATATTTGAATGATAGCGTATTTTACAATGATTTATGAAGTGACATATTTTGACATTGATTTATGAATTTATGAAATATTTGACAAAACGATGATCTTAAAATGTTTTGATATTATGATTTGATGAATGTTTTGAATGATCTATATGATGTGTAAGAAACGATGCTTGATCTGGTAAGGTGTGTGTGCCTATACTTACTGAGTTGTGGTTTGCTCATTCTTTTTTTATTTTTTCTTTACAGATGACTAAGTGATAAATTTGGTTAGTCTTGTATGAAGCTAAAAGATGAAATAAAAAAGATTACTTAGTCGTCAGAGAAAATGTTGACCAATGAGATCTTAAGAGATAGTTTTGTATTTTATATGGTTTGTATTTGTACATATAAAGATGTATTATCAGTTGGATTAAAGATATGAATTTTACTTGGTAGATTATTTTATTGAAGAATTTTAGAATGATTAAGAAAGAAGGCTTCGTATTACTTTGAGGTTTTCTTCAAGATAATATGACCGTGTTGCGTCTTGATCTCGGGGCGTGACAGTGGTAGTGCAGTTTACTATTTAATTTGAAAAATTAACATCATCTGCAACTTTCTCATCTCAGATACATTTTCTTTTAACGGCTTGGGACCATGCAGCTTTCTTTTGAACCGGGGATTGAGGGTTCTTAGCCATTCTCGTGACCCTTCTTCAAGCATTAATAGCATATTTAAAACTTTTTTTAATACATTAACTTACAATTGAGGAACCCCATTCTTTCACTTTGGAATTACACTTCAAGCCAGGGAAAAGAAAATTTGTTTTAAGAGAAAGTTTCATTGATATAAGGTGCAGTTACAGGTAATTTACATGCCATCACACACAACAAAATCCATATCTCACTGAGACCTCATCCTGTTGAGCTGGTTCAAAGCCGGTTGCAGAATGTTGTAGGCCACCCAAAGAAGAGCTGGAGCTACAACGAAAAGAAGAAGGGTACCCTGTTGTCACTAGATGCAGCATCAGCAATCATGGCAATTTCACTTGCTGATGCTTCTGGAGTTGACATGAATCCTGATGCGGCCAATCCTCCAAGTCCTAGTCCAATGATCACCCCCTTGGTGCTTCTCATCCGGTCCAGCTGATTAAGTGCTGGCCGGAGGATGTTAAAAAGCACCCAAGCGATGGCTGGGATTATGGGAAGCAATAGAGCTAGCCCACGGTTATCTCCTTCGGCTATTTCAGCAATCTGTTGTGCAGCATAGGCAGGATCGCATGAGCTCAAGGTTGAAAAAATAGCTCCAGCAATGGCAGTGCCGGCTAGTGAAGAAGCGAGGTTTGAGTTGTCAGATGGTTTAGAGATGGTGAGGCCTTTGGGGAGGTTGTGCATGGAGAGAAGGGAGATGGGTTTTGCGGTTGGCTTTGTTGGGTTGATCATCTTGCTTGAGCTAATGCTCAGGCATTTTGCATTGAGCATGGCCATTGTAGCTACGCTTGCTGCCATTTGATGTTTGGGTTCAGTTGGCTTCGGCTGAGGATTAGGCTTTTGGCATATAGATCTGATGTCAAGCGAATCAAATGAGGTCCAATAGAATTATGCTCTCTGGATTCTTCTCTATCCAGAGAGTGTGATTGGTGAGATATGGACCTTACGTTTCCTTATCGCCTCCCCCCTATCACTTTACTTCTTAATGTCAATTTGTGAACTGATTTAGACCCTAAACATAGTATTAAAATCACAAAGGTTTAAGACATTTATCCAACTTAGAATTAATTTGAAAAGTTATTTATCAGTTCAATGTTTCAAATAATACATTTTAAATTATTATTTGGATAAATTATTAAAAAAAATTTAAACTTTATCATTTTATTTAGATAAATTTATGTATTTTTATTGTATCTAAATAAATTTTTATTTTTTTATTTACATCCAAGTGTATCTTTTTTTCACAACAAATTGTAATTTATGTGAAGGATTTACTTAGGAATAAATTAATGGATAAACTTTGTTATATAATTAAAATTTAAAGATTAATTTAAATATAAAATAAAAATTAAGAATTTATTTAAATATAACAAAAATATAAAAATTTATCTAAACAAAATAATAAAATTGAACAATTTTTTTTTTTAACCTTACTATTTTTTTCAATTGAACCAACAATATTGTTGTGTTGACCACCAAGTAAGCAACTATTTTAACTGGTTTCACATTTATCTGACACCAAACAAATCAATTGGCCACTTCAACACACGTAAAATATAGTAAAAGGTCGATCAAGCAGGTAAGACATTCTGTCCATTCCTTCTAGCTTGCCTACTCTGTCTCTCTCTCTCCCCATTTTTGTCTTCCTCCTTTCTAACACTTTCTTGACTTAAGCGTTACAGTGCACCCTAAAAAAATTACTATTTTCAGTGTTTCCTGACCATTCCTTTCATGATAGATCATACAAACATTCCACGTCAACCGTCCTATTCAGCCTCCGACGGATCCCCTAGTCACCAGACATGAAAATGCATCCAACTACTTAACTAGCTAAATCTATCAACCATCGTTGAGGGAGTTAGCTGAACAGTGAGTTGAAAGGTGAGGTGGAAGGATATTGGACTTGTAACAAGAAAAATACGATTAAAAAGTGTTGAAATTGAGCTTTTAAGATACGTTTTAACGTTAAAGTCAATCAAATGTAAAAAATTAGACTTAAAACCAAAAAAAATAAGTTGGAAACAATAATGAAGAAAGTGTAAGAGGTTAGGTTTAAAATAATATATCTGAATCTCATTTTATTTTTTATATAAGACATATAGTGATGACAAGACGTAAGTAAATGATAATTAATGAAAATTTTATGTGAAATTAAAAGAAATTTGATGTGAATTGAGAATGAACAATGTTTAATAATTTGAAATAAATTAAATTATCGTGAGATGATTTGCTGATAAAATTTTAACGAAGATATTTGAACAAACTGTCTCTATAAAAAAAAGAAATCGAAATAGTCAAGCAAGACAAAGAGCCTAAATGTCGATCTTCCTTAAAAATGTGCTGAATTGACGTGGAAGTTGATCGCCTTAACTAAACAATTAGGCCTAACACACGTAAATAAGCAAATACAGAACGGCCTAATTATCTGGTGAAAACCTTTTATAGGGCTAGCAATTATCAATAGTTTTAGTCCAATGGCTCATATACCCAGTGAAGCCTAAAATCTAGCTTAATCTGTAGAAGCCCAAGCTCCAAGGCTGAAGTCTGAAGATCAATCCCATCTTGGGTTTCTCTGTCTTCCTCCGGGTTCCACGCTTTGTCAACCGCCAGCAGCTCAGAGTTCATGGGAACTGGAAAAGTCTTGTAATAAGTTTGACATCCTACCATTTATTATAGGGACACAATCTGACAAGCTGCTTCTCATGGCTAGCTCATGCCTATTGCTATTAGAAGTAACATTTAAAATGAACCAGAATTCTATATTTGGACATGTTCATCTTCCAAAACTTGACTACACAGCATCACAGCACATCCCACCTTCTCCTAACTTGATATGAAAGCCTTTTTTTACACATCATAAAATTCCTCAATTTTTTATATCAGTAATATTTTGTGAAACTTAAATTGGTTTGCAACAAACATGTGCTATATGTGATATTTTTCAACACCTATGTTGAGCCATATTTTCAAAAAATATATATATAATTATAACTTATAATACGATTAAAATTGAAATTAATTTATTTATACTATTATTCTTAAGATATTATACTACTAAACAAAACAATTCTTAAGATATTTTGGATTATACTGATAAACCACTACTACTAAACAAAACAATGACTGGCTTTCAGGAATAACCAGTTCCAAGGAAACTATTTTCAAGGTAACTAAAAAATGTTTTCTTTCTTTTTTCCCTATTTCTTTTTAAAGTTATGGTAATGAATTACTGTTGTTTGGATTGAATCCATTCAGGTTTTAAAAGATGGGTTATTGGCTTTGCATGTTCTGTACGCTTATGGTTTTGCTAGTATACTACTGACTGTGCTTGTCAAGGCTACTACATTTCCTTGGACTAGGAAACAGCTATGTTATTTGTGATAAAACCAGACAATACAATAGACCCAAATTAGGAATAGAGGTGTTAATCCTCCAATCAATATTTGTTTATTTATTTTTTCGATTATGTATTTTTTTTATTTTAAACTAATTTATTTCATAGGAAAATAAGTGGTTTGTGTTTAGTGAATGTATTCTCACAAATTTGTTTTTGCGCATAGGTAGAATCTGCAATGGCTATGCGTTCATTACAGCCTCAAATAAAGGTTATTCAGCAGTGGTATGTGGGAGATCAGGTGAAATTTTGCATTTTGTTTAAACAGGAAGGGCTCATGGCTCTATTATTTTTTGGTTAATTTGCCTAATGAATCTGATGCATAGTTCTGGTAGTTTGGCATGATAAGTTAAATGGATGCTCATTGCTTTGACGGTAAAAGAAAGAAAGAAGGAAAAAAAAGAGGATATCATTGAATGTTTACAGCTTTGGATTGTTTGATGTATTTTTTTTTTTCCTTATATTTGAAGCCATTTTAATCTTTGAGCTGCTTTTCTTCTATACTTGCGGGAGAGAATTCAACTTGAAATTGCTAGATTATATAAACTAGCTGGGATAAACCCATTGGCAGGTGTTCATTATACATGTCTGCATAACAATGCCTTTAATTTCAGTAACTTATTAGATCCCGCATTAACCTCTTTTCTAAAACTTTTGCATTCCACATACTTTTATTTTTAAGTTTATTTTCAGCATTTCTTTCAGTGGTACTTTTCCATTTCCATTATGTTCTATCTCTATTGTAGGGCTTTAAGAAAGTTTTGGACTTTGTGGATGTATATGTGTGTGTATGTGGCAGAAATTCAGATCATTGAATATAGAACTTAATAATAGTAAATGGATTACTACTATCTTTTGTTTTGATGCCCTTTTGGCTTTTGTTGATGAGGCATGTCAAAAACAATTCTACTTTATACAAACAAGAAAGACATGGCATGAGATTTATCTTTGCATCTGTTTGCTTGTAAAGTTTATGTCATCTTCCTGCGTTACAGCACCTTTTATACTTCATCTTTGTTGGAGATTAATTCCATCTGCTTTTCTTTGTTTTCTCTCTACAGGATGCCTACCTACTCTTGCCACAATTCCAGTGTGGATTGGGCTTTATGGAGCTTTGTCAAAATGTTTAGATGAGGTAGTATGCTATTTGTGTTGGTTTGCCACTTTTAACCTTCTCTTGCCTTCATCTATCTCTCATGTCTAATTGTGTGTTTGCATCTTTCGCTAATGAACTCCTCACAGAAGGGTTCTTTTTGGATACTCTCCCTCGCTGGTCCAACTACAATTGCTGCTTGACAGAACAGCAGTGATATCTCTTGGCTTTTCCTATTTGTAGTAAATGCCTTAATTTGTAGATATTATTGCAGTTATACATATATATATATATATTTTTTATGTTAAATTTAATGGTTCAAAATCTCTTGACTAATTGTGAAAATTTTATCTGAAAGTGCTAACATTTATTCTGATTCTTGGTGGTGTGGTTGTTTTCTTAGGATGGACACCCACCCCTTGGATGGTCAGATACATTGGCATATCTTGTGTTGCCTGTTTTGCTGGTTGTCTCACAGTACATCTCTCTCCAGATCATGCAATCAGCACAGGTTTGTCATTCCATCATTAACAAGAATGCTTGTATGTCAGTTCTTTTAACAATGACGGAACTTAATACTAAAATCCCCAATTCAAGATTATTTCTTTTGTTAAAATAGAATTTATTAAAATTGTGAACGATAGTTATTTTTAAGGTCCCTTCGCTTTGTTTCTATATGTCATACTTAAAAAAGGTGTTGACTAGAGTATGAGAAACATGATAATTAGCAGAGTCGCATTGCTTTCCTAGTTTTTCATATTTAAGTTAAACTGACTTGGATCTGATTTTAAGAAGAATGAGATCTTAAATCTAAATTTATAATCTCTTCCATAACAATGTGTAGCCATTTTTCTTATCTTTATGACTTTTTTCATGTAAATTGTATTAGTGAAAATTTTTTTCACCTTTTTCTTATTGATGATTCTGATTTTTTTCTAATCGTAATGGTGCTTGAATTACTGTTTCATCATTGGGAGAGTTGCAAGTAATATTTGTTTAACTGCTAATTGTTGCTTACTTTTCATCTACCTTTTAAGATGACTTGGGAAGCTTTCAGCTCCATGATGTATAAACTACTTAAATTGAGGCTAGAACTGATTTACTTTTATCTAACTTTTTTTTTCTCAGGGCAATGATCCAAACATGAAGAGCTCTCAAGCCCTGACTAAGTTCCTCCCTGTTATGATTGGTTATTTTGATCTTTCAGTTCCTTCTGGTCTAAGTCTATACTGGTAAGCAGCTGCAAAGCCTTCCTTTTTAAAGTATTATAAGATACACAACTTTATGTTGCATTGCTTTTTGTAATCCTTACTTATCAAAACCTTTGCCTATGTCTCTAACCTTAATTATG